CTCTCTCTCTCTCTCTCTCTCTCTCTCTCTGTTTCTCTCAGAGCTGACTCTACAGCAGGCTTTGCACCAGTCTGTATTCATGCCATGTTCCAGCCCATCTCCCAGCATGCCTCACTGCTGGGATCAGCACAGCAAGCTCCTTCCAACAGTGGCTGGCATCACGGCCAGTAAAGTGGCAGCGTGGAGCGTGGATGAGGTACACCGAGCTCCCGTGTGCATCTGCATTTCCCACTTGCTATTCAAATTCAAGACAATTATGCTTTGTTGAATTAATGCGAGTTTTTTTTTTTTTTTAGATCAGTTGATTTGTTTTGGGCTCGGTTATCTTCAGCTGTTGCACCTCCTCTAATCCTCATTGTTATTCTGCAGGTGATCGAGTTTATCCAAGGACTTCCAGGCTGCAAGGAGCAAGTGCGCACCTTCAGAGAGGAGGTAAATGATTCCCTTTAATCACGAGTGGAATCAGAACGACTGAATCCTGTGAGAAATATTTAACAAGTCCTCCATCATGAGGTTTGGCAGCCGGAGTAACTGAAGCATTTTAGGAACAGAATACAATGCATAAGGAAGAGAGCATGGGGCATGATGGGATATGTGAGGAGATCTCATTGAAACCATTTATAGGCATGTCAAGTCATCCCACGTCACTGCATCATGCCTGTTTACTGCTAGCAAGAATGTTAAAGAGGCCAGGGCTGCTGCTTTAAATAATTCTGCTCTCTGAGCTGCTGTCTGTCTGATCTTCTGCTCTTATTTCCCATCTCTCTCTCCTCTTGTTCGCTTCTGTGTCTTGTCCTGTGTTTTCTAATTATATGTGCAAATGGGAGCTGCGTTAATGAGTCCTGTCATACATTGGGGTGTAAATGTCTCAGAGCACTGGTGAATATTATTCTACTTTGTGTTCTTTTATATTATGAAACAGTTTGTTGTATAATATAAAATGCTGATATTTATTAAAACAGCTCTGGGATGTTTTACATATCTCTGTTCTGCTTATGGCATTTAGGCGAAATAAGTGGTAATATTATGTTACTTAACATTAACTTCCTGTTTATTGAACTGTTGGTTAAAATCAATGTCACAGTATCGGCATGAGTTTAATTACCTGCAGCCAATCCATTTCACACACATGACCGATTGTGAAAATGTTTTAATTGCATGCAACATTTTCTGTTTAAAATATGTAATATTAGCATAACAGTTTGAGTTTAAAATTGCATTTCTGAATGTCTTAGTATCTGTTATGTGCCCTTTTTAATCAATGGCAGCAGCACTCGAAATGTCTTGGACTCTTGATTTGTGAAATAGAAATTTGCAGAATCTTTCCTTTTCTGTCATAACCATTGTTTGTTTTCCGACTGTAAAATTTCTAACATGTTGTTTATTTCCAGGCCCCAGACTTAGACTTTTGAATCCCATGAACATTTATCTTATAAGATGACGACATAGAAAAGTCTTAGATCTTTGAGTTCAGCTCATGAAAAATGGGGGCAAAAACAAAAGTGTTGCGTTTATAATTTTGTTCAGTGTAATATTATGGTGCCTAAATTCACTTGTAGCATTTAAACATTTTTTGTGTGTTCATTTTAATTTATTTACACAAATGATCATTTTAATATTGTCCAATTATTGTTTATCATCCATAACATATAAAATAATTATCAACTTCTATCCGACAGAATTTTAATATGGTGCATCTGTAATTATCTGATCTTTTGGATTGTGTCTATGAAGATCAAAATATGAAGAGAAAATAATAATTTAGGACATGAAGCACCTTTCATTTATGCAGTATTTTAATTGCTGGATTATACAAATCAATACATTATTATTATCATTTAAAATATAAGACATTTTCCACTGTATTTCAATTTTCATATTTTCAAATGACTATATGGTGATATAAAATCCCCGGATTTCATACAATGTCTCTTGTTTGTGAACAGAAATGAGATGTTTGTTCTGTTGCATGAATTTCATCAAGCAGTAGTTTAGGACATTCTGTTTTAACACTGTTGTAGAGCAAAACACCTAGAAATGACACTGAATCAAAGAATTGCACAGGAAATGCATCTTCTTCTCTGACAGCTGTGTATGTTTATCTGCTGATTTGTTGTTGTTTGGTTTCAGCACATTGATGGCGAGGCCTTCCTGTTATTGACTCAGGTGGACCTGGTGAAGATCCTCAGCATTAAACTAGGGCCGGCTCTCAAAATATACAACTCCATACTAATGTTTAAGACCACAGAAAACTCTGCCTGTAACGAACTCTGACCAGACAGACCGACAGCCAAGAGTTCAGAACTGCTTCAGTCAAAGGGCTCATCATGAAGATTCATACAGTACACACCACACTATTATGCATGACCAACACGATGTAGATAATGTCCGAATGAGCAGGATAAACACATATAATGACATTCAGAATTCATTCAGACAGACAGCACAAGAACGTCTCTGCGCTGTCAGTAATAATCATATTTGTACGCACTTATTAACTCACATGATGATTTCATGTAGTCCCCTTTCATCATAGTGTCGGGGAGAATGTATATTTTACTGAGGAGTTATGGGAGCTAAATTCAGGTGCTAAACGAATGCAGTTACATGCACTGAAGAGCCGCACAATGTCTGCTTTTGACTCTCGTTGTTTCCGTTACAACTCCTTTAATTCATAGCTGTAGATAATTTAAGTGTTTGGAAAGGGTTCTGGATGGAGGACTAGCAGAATGGGGTTTGAATATCAGAGCATTAGATAAACACACGGATCCTCTTTGATTGTTTGTTTCCAGTGTGCTGTGATGCCATATTAATGCATCATGCCACAGTCCTTCATTACGGTTACAGTCATGGATTTTATGAGTGGAGACTAAAGTAGTAGGGTAGTGCTCTTTCTTTATTTGTTTTGATACAATGGATGTAGAAATGGAGAACGGAGAGTAAAACTACACTCAAGGCACAAATAATAATTGTGAGAGCCATATTGGTATTTTCTAATAGAATGTAACTTAATATTCAGAATGCCTTCGTGTGCACAGTGTAAGAAGAAAAGTGTCATTTTTTATTAATATACAAACGTGAGTATTAATTTTATTTCTGTTGCTGAGGTATGCAGCATTAAAAATACATGAAATTTCCCATCTATTTATTTAAGTTTAATACGTTGACTATTTAAAAAACAATGTGCTGAACCAGGGGCATTTTTTGCCCCAATATCTTGAATTTTTAGGGCATAACTGCATTTATGGAGTTGTTGTCCTGCATCATATTTGTCAACAGTCAACTGTAGGAAATTGAAGATGACGTACAGGTCTGGGGCGGGGCCAGTGCGTTAACTGCTTTAAAATATTGTAATCGCGTTATTTTTTCATAACTAATTAATCAAGTTAATGCGTTAAACTGACAGCCCTAATATATATATATCCGGCGGCCGCACGTGCTCCCCTCTTGGTCCGTGGCGCGAGGGGTGGTGGCTTCTTCTGAGCGGCTTCGTCCTCCTTGGCCCAAGGCGCTTCCTTGGGATTAAATGGCCCGGCATCCTGGCCCGACAACCATGTCACGGGTGCGGTTCACATCCAGACCGCGGATCCGGCAGCTGGCGGCACTTGCGGTGCAGGAGTCCCTCTACGCACCCTTCCTGGACCCACGAGGACACCAGCGTGCATGCATGGGGAAGAGACC